TCTCTCTCTCTCTCTCTCTCTCTCTCTCTCTCTCTCTCTCTCTCTCTCTCTCTCTCTCTCTCTCTCTCTCTCTCTCTCTCTCTCTCTTTGCTTCGCGCGCGCGCTCGTGCGCAGCTACAACAGTTTTCCGCGCGCAGCAGTTCATTCCCGTCGCGCGCAGCTCTATCCCGTCGCGTGCAGCTCGCTATCGCCGCGCGCAGCTCCGTTATGTCGCGCAGCTGTCCACGCGGCCTCCGTTCCCGCTAGCGTGTCCCCGCGCTGCCTCTCTCTCGCTCGCTAGCGCGCACACGTGTGCTCGTTCTCACTCGCTCGCCGGCTCAGTCACCATTCCCACACACTCTCATCTCCTATCGTACCCCGCCACAATGCAGCGCACCCTTTCACTCCCGTAGTGCTGAAACTACCCGCTCATCCGCAAATCCGACCCCATCATCAGATTCGCCCAGCTCTAGAACCCCAACTTCGACTCCTCCTTTGCCTGTTTTCATTAAGAGATGGCGCGACACTCCCTTCCCATTGCGCCATATCCCGCTTCGTCAGGATCTTCGTTCTTGGCATCCAACGTACCTGGAGAGTATCCGGGCCCAGGTTCACCCTAGCTCTTTCGCCCTTCTATCCAAGTCCGATCAACGATTCGCAYGTACCTCCATCAACTTGCACTCGTTTCCCTTCCCTCTCTTGCTTCGAGCTCTCTTGTTTTCGMTAGCCAACCCTCTCGCGTAGTGACGTTCCCTCTTACTCCCTTTCTCTCAGCCACGTGGCTCTCTTCGTACGTGCACTGCCCTTTCCTTCGTTTGTAGTTTCCCAGGATGGTAGAAAGAGACTGGGAATCTAGTAATCGTCTCCGATGACCTGCGCGCCTGATCCTACTTGTGATGGCGCGCGGTCATCCGCACAATGCTCCTTGTCCAAATGGCGCTCCCTCCTCCATGCGATGTGGCCGCTGATTAGTTCCCTTCCCTCGACCAGTACGCGTGCCCCCGTGTTCCGCTCATTCCCATTGGTCATCCTCCCGTTTGCTCCTGCACCATGCACCTGTCCGCGGTCATGTACCTCTCGCCAACCCCATGCCTCCCTCTGGTTCAAGGCCCGTGCGGCTATCTCGTGCGCCTTTCAAAGTGTCCGTGCGTTTCTGGGCCAACACTCCGTGCGTCAGTCCCAATACCCCCTCCCCTGGTATCCTCTCGTCCGCTCTTGATCAGCCCTTTCCCAGGTGTGGCCCTTGTGCGCTTCAGGTGCACGATCGTACCTGTTCGCTCGTGCGTTCCAAACGTTCCCCCGTCCGGGAACCAGTGCGCGAGGGGCCAGCGCACAACCGTGTGCCAGCCCGTGCGCAAGTGAGAGTCCCCCGAGAATGAGCCCTCTTGGGCTTATAAAGTTTGCTGGTCCCACGGTACCAGCTCCCAACAGCTAGTTCTCACCCGCCGTAGGCCGATCCGTGTCGGGAACTTTGCAGCGCCCTGGTATCGGGCCTATGCCCGAGCCTGTTTGGGCCCCGGAAAGGTCTTTGTCGAGAAGAGCCTTTTTGTCGGGAACCGGGCCTTTTGCAGCGCACCGGTACCGGACCTATTTCCGAACCTGCCCCGGGTCTATCTCGGCCTTGGTGGTCCCCACTCATAAGTGGTACCAGCCCCCCTTGTGAAAGTCACGCAGGCCCGCCCAAAACTCTAGGCCGGGAGGTCCATTTCCGAGCCTTAGGCCCGTACCCTTCTCCTCTTACTGTCGAGGCCCCTGCTTAGGCCCTATCCCCACCACTTGTTCACGCAGGGTGTTCTTGAAAATTCGGTTACTCGAGGCAACTTCGGACACCGTCGCCGCTTAAGACGTCCGTAGCCTTACGATAAACGCCCGACGCCTCCGTTCCCTCGACTATTCCGCCGACCTTTAGTATCATTCCGACCTTTCGCGGCCGCGCCCCCTTGTCCGACCCCTCGACAGTTGTACGCTGTGGTAGCCTCTTTGCGTTCATCGGTAGCTTACGTCTTAGGCTCTCTCCTCAAAGATACCGTTGTTCAACGCTCGAGCCCTGCTCGAACTGAACGTCGTAGCCCGGCCACTCGTTCCGTCAACCTGTCGCGACATTTTCCCATGGCCGGTGAGCCCCTGCAAGGTAGAAACCGACAAATGCGAACCTCGTTGCGCGCCCTTGTAAAGGGAGTAAAGGGCGGCGTAGGGCTGGAGCCACCCGACAGCAACCCCCCCCCCCATTCTCGACGTCCCCGGCGAGCGATCTTGGAGTATCGTCTGTTTATCGAGAAGGAAAAATTTAATCGGCTGACACCTAATCTGTACCCGATCAACCCCAAAAGACATATCCCTCTCATAATTTTCTTTCTTCTTTTCACTCTTCCTACCTCTCTTTCCACCATCGCTTCTTTTAGCTTTCCGTTTTTTATCCCTAGCTTGTCCTTTCAACCACTGCCGAGTTGCCAGATTCGAGCGAACTTTGGTTTTGTCTCGCCACTTATGGAAGTAAGATTTTCTTTTGCTCATACGCTTAGTCGGCAGGATCAGTTTGATCAATGCTAAAGTACCTCCTTCTTCGAATATCGGACCTCCGAACTTTCGAGTTTTACCTCCCTCATTTACGAACGTCCTTCTCCTCCTTGCACCCATTCTCCACCCAACCAGTAAGGCTTGAAAGAGTATAGGAAAGACATAGCATGACAGATCGCATGACAGGCTTGTACGGACCCACAAGGAGCTCGCGGCACCAGAAAGATCAAACGTAATGAGACGATCAGCCACGCCAAGTAAGATGCCGAAATTAAAGCTGCAGCCGTAGCACCAACAACGGAAAGTACGAGCATAAGTTGACACAAGGATGATCAGTAAGAGAAAAATGAGGCGCAAGTCATCATTCCAGCCTCGCACCCTTATCCCAAGTTGAAATCCTGCGACCCAATTTCCAGTCTTGATCGAATCATTATCGTCAATAATGGTTTTCTTCACTTGAAATTCTTCCCTGAGTTCTGACAGTTCCTTAAATTCTCTCGACGTGCTTTTAAGATGGTCAGCATCCTCAATAAACTTAACTTCCACGATGGCATTTCCTCCGCCTTCTTGGTCAGATGAAAGTCGAATCTCATTGTCTTGTCCTTCCAAAAGGTTCCCGTCTAATTCTCCTTCAACACTCACCGTCGTGCATCGATCCATTATGAAATCTCCAATATCTTTCATAATTACCAGATTTTGACTCTTAAAACTATACCCAACATCGTTTCCGGACGTATCGATGGTCTCCAACAGTTGGGCAAGATCATAGCCGACGTCGGACTCGAGGGTTTCAAACAGTTGTGCAAGCTCATAGTCGTCGTCCGGCTCGACGGTCTCCAACAGTTGGGTAAGCCCATAGTCGATACCCGGTTCGGAGGCCTCAAAGAGTTGAGCTAAGTCATAATCGTCATCATGTTCGATGGTCCCAAATAGTTGCACCAGCTCATAGCTGACGTCCGACTCGACGGTCTCAAGAGGATGAGCCATCTTGTAGCCGACATCCGGGTCAACATACTCAAATAGTTGGGCAAGCTCACAACCCATGTCAAGATCAAGGGTCTCAAACAGTTGAGCCAACTCATAGCTAACATCTGGCTTGATGGTCTCAGAAAGTTGAGCCAACTCATAGCTGATATCTGGCTTTGCACACTTAAACGCTGGGGCAAGCTCATATCTTGTGTCTGAGTCCTCTGCCCCCTTGTTTTGAGTATCGCTAGTCTTTTTCAAGTCTCTGCATTCTTCAATCATTAGTATCTCTTCATGTGTCGTGGTTCGATCTACCCACGTTTCCTGAATAACCTTCGGCCCTTCGCCCCTCGGCGAGATTTTAATGTCAAGGTTAGTATCATCGGCTCCATTTTCTTCTGATTCCTCACTCATTTTCTCAGCACACACCGGAGCTGCATCAGAATCTTCCTCGCAACTCTCGAACCCAATACTCAAAACCCCAACCGTCAGACTATCATTCGGGTCGGGGCCCTCCTTAAACCGGACACTAGATACCCAGAACTCTCCCTGCTCTGGCTCTTCCACTGTCCTCACCACATTGCTAATACCCATCTCCGTAGAAGTTCGACATCGTATATCTTCCTCCTCATTCTCACTTGTATCCCGGTCCTCCTCAAACCTAATACTCGACACCCAGATTTCTCCTTGAATTTCCTGAATCAGCTCCTGGGTTGTTCCTGTTTAAACGCCACTATTCATCTTCGTAGAAGGTCCGCATGATATATTTTTTTTGTCATTCGCACATTCGATCTTTCCCCACTCATTCAGCTCGATGGTTTTCCCAGAGTCTTTTTCTCGTCTGTCTTGAGGTCCTTGTTGTAATGGAATCTTCAACGATTTCGTGCCCCTCTAAGGTGAGACATTCTTCATTCTCTTCACCCTCTCTCGTTCGGCCCTTAGGGCTACAATCTCCTCGACCGTTTCCCATCCTTCCCTATATGATCTCCTTCGCTCTTTCTCTTCTTCTCTACTTCTCCATCGCCTCTCTCGAAATCCCCTATCGTCGTCCTTCTTCCAGTTGCCGCGGTTTCTTCCTTTCCATTCCTCTCTATCTCTACTTACTTTACCTTTTCCAGGCGGCATGAACTCTCTTCCATCCTCATCACCGAATTGTTTTTCTAGATGACTTTCGAGTTCTCCTTTCCCAAGTTTCTCCAACACCCCACGTAGATGAGCTTTGGTGTCCAGTCTCCCAGTCTGGAAAACCAATGCCTTTGTCTTTGCGAACGACACCCCTTTAGTGGGCATGTTCTCCATAACAAACTCCCTTCTCTTGATAGGTAGAGTCCCCATGAATATACCGCATCATTCTATCTCACCAAGAAACCCATTTTCTATCAATGGTTCAGATGTCGTCTCAAAGCGTCTCGTGAACGCCACTAACGTCTCTCCTTCCTCCTTCTTCATCTCCTTTAAGTCCTCGATCGAGTACGAGATATCATCGCAAGCAAAGATTCGAGACAATCGTTCTCTGAAAGTTGCCCACTTCCAATCCTCGGGTATAGCAGCACGCACGTCTTTGTCTAGTTTGAGATCGGTATGATTAACGAATCCCTTTATCGCTTCCCGATCAGTCCATCCCGCTCTCAAGGCATAAACTTCCCAGTCATTCAGGAACTCTGTTACCCGATGTCCCATGAAACATAGAGGCTGACCGAAATACGGTGGTTGGTAAAACAAAGGACTGCACAATGACCCGCACGCCATAGCATATGGACTCGGTCTGCATGGTAGCTCATATCGTCATTTCCACCAAGTTTCTCCTTCTTCGTTCGTCATCCTTTCTCCTCCATCAAAACTCTCCATTCTCATTTTTTTTCTCAGGGCCTCTCCCCTTTTTCGTAGTGTCTCCTCCCTGGAGCTAACATCATATGAATGATATGATAAGTACTCCCTGATTCAATTTGTGTCCCATCAAGGTCATCAGTCGATCCAACTAATCAACGAACAAATGGTTACGATATTTTCTCCGACGCTTGTGCAACCCACTCTTGACTTGTGAGGTCGTAGACCCACACGACAGGCCCCCACTGATCACCCCTGTATCCCTTTAAGACGTCAACAGGCCTAGGAGAGAACCGCCCTTTGGCGTATCTCCCCCTACCCTTGTGTCAAGAAGGAGGTTGGATCAATGTACCATCATCGCTGACCCACCTCCTACGTCGCGACCTGGACACGAGCTGACCAACTCATGTGTCCTAGGGTGGGCCGAAGTCACACGCACACAAAGGGGCGGTGTCTCACTCGTGCATCCTCACATTCCTATCCATGCCTCTACTCGGCCCACCTCAGGCATGGTCTCTCTTCCCGACTCGTGCGGTGAATCAATCCCCCCAGCTATCCATCAGGATCGACTAGCCTATCTAGTCCCTGACTAACTCCTTGCAATCCGGGGCGCTTTTCCCCTTCCCTTCAGTCCCTCCAGTTCTTCCTCTGCTTACAATTTTCTCTCTTGAAGTGAGATCCGGATAGGCTGACCAAAGGGTAGGGAAAAATCAGAATTATCCCGCTCGATCACAATCACAAGAAGGATGGGAGGGAAAAATGCATAAGATCAATACATGCAAGAATCAAGGACATCACGAGCATTGCAAAAACCGACGTCTCACCGGGCAAGCCGATCTCTGGTTGGCTGGTTGCTCGCCGTCTGCTCCGCTCTAGTTGTACTCCTTTCCTGATCCTCTTACGTCCCCGCGGTTACAGGCGGACCAAAGTCCTGAGAGGCAGCCTTCCCCGGCAACGGCGCCACTGTCGACCGGTAGAAGGGGTCTGCCGGCATGCCGTCCAAACACTATACCTCGCGCCGCGTCTGTCACCAGCGGGAGGGTTGGTCAGGGCTCCTGTAACCTGCAACAAACTTGTCAGTCACATCCACATTAATAAAGACTGGGACCGACTACAGACACAACCACGAGTCTCTCGTATTGCACCGTCTGGAAGAATAAAAAGGATTGTTTTCATTTGGTCATGAATAATACCCGTGGAAGGGCTAGTTCCGACCCCTGCCTTAGATCTGAAATCCATCCGGCTGTTTGGAAAAGACGACGCCTTGGGTCACTCGAGTGCGAGTCGAGCCGTGTCCTTAGTCTGATCTGGTCTAATCTAGTCTCCTCAAGTTTAGTCTAATCAGGTCTGTTTTGGTCTGGTCTCGAGCTGGTCTGATCCGATCTCGAATGGTCTCATCTCATTAGGTCTAACTTGAGGTCTGCCCGGTCTGGTCTGATCCGGTTTGGACACGATCTCGTCTTATCTGTTCTGAGTCTGCCAGGTCTGATCTGATCCGGACTGGATACGGTCTCGTCTTATATGTTCTGAGTCTGCCCGGTCTGATCTGATCCGGTCTGGGTACGGTCTCATCTGATCTGTACTGAGTCTGCCTGGTCTGATCTGATCCAGGCTGGGTACGGTCTCATCTGATCAATCCG